GAGCTCGCTGTGCATTTGCTCTGGAAACAACACTCCCAGCTCTGCTGCAGGGCAAAAAAAAAAAAAAAAAAAATTTAAGAGGAAAAAAAAAGGAGTTTTTCTAACATGCAAGGCCCTGGCTCCCACAAGCAGGATTTCTTCCGTGTCCCAGGCAGCGAGCGAATGAGACACAGATGGCCGGACTTGGAACACCTCTGCGCTCGCAACCACAAAATGATCCCCCTCAACCGAGCAGCGAGCGAGCTGCAAACAGCGAGCCCCCAGCGGGGTCTGCTTTACCAGGGAGCCTCTTCTGCTCTCAGCCGAGGGGCCTGCGAGAGGGCGGAGATCCCTGCAGCTGGAGCGATGGCTGCCTGTGCCTGAGGAGCGTTCTGCTGCCCTGTCTGGCTGAGATGCTGCTCTGTGGGACCAGATTTAGAACAGAACAACCCCTCTCCTGCTTTGTCCTCGTACCTGAGCACCTCAAGGCACCTCAGGGACCCGCTGTGGGGAGAGCAGTGAGCAAACAAGCCATCTCTGAAACATGGCTTCTACTGCATCCCATCCAGGCAATTCACTGTGCTCGCCCTGACCCACCACATAACGTGCTTCTGGAGGCACCTCCCAGCCCTTCTCCCCAAATCCACACCCTTGGCAGAGCCCCCCTGAGCTCTCACAGAGCTGGGGGGCCTCAGCCAAGCACCCACCGCCCAGAGGTCCGGGCGGTCACAGGCAGCGGCTCTGCCATTTCGCAGCCCGTGCAACTTTCACAGACCATCTGTGACACCCAAAATAGCAGGCAGGGGCTTTCTGCACGCTATTATTATTTATGATGGCACTGCGGGAGAGCTGGGCCGTGGTCACACGTCGTCCCCGTCCCCCCCCCGGCACTGCAGGGGACACGGGGGACAACTCCTCTCCCCTACCCCGCCCTCCGCCACCCATCGCCGGTCCCTGCTGGAAATGACGGCTCTTCCAATCTGTCAGCAGAGCCACATGAGTAATCACCGGCGACCAACTGCAACCAGCCCGGCCCGACTCAGAACAGCCCTTTTTAGGCAGCAGTCCCATGTCACCGGAGTGCCACCGGCGAGCGGGATGCCAGCAGCCACCCCCGAGCCTGGGAATGGCGCTGGGTGACTCATCTTGTGCTGCCCAACCTTGAAACAGATCCCTGCAGGGATCCAGCTCTCAGAGAGGTCTGGGTAAGGCGATTGGGGGTGGTTGCCATTAGTTTGGGGCCAAGGCACAAACTGGGGGCATCAACCTCTGGCAGGAGGACAGGAGCACGTGCCCAGCGGCAACAACACTTCCAGGCTGCTCCTGCCACCCACCAGTGCTGGGACATAGACCCCTGGGCAGGGGATGGAGGCAGCAGGGGCGTCCCCTGCCACCTGGGGATACCCCATGCCTGGTGCTGTGTGCCCAGCCGGGCTGTGGGCAGGGAGGATGGGGAGGGCAGGGTGTGAAGGCTCAGGGCGTGGCTCACCTGCGCTGGCTGGCCGCTGCGGCAGCCCCGGGGACACCGTGTTCCTCTGCAGCGCCGGCTGCTGCGGCGACAGGAGCCGGGGGTCTGTCAGCGACGAGGTCACCAGGGACTGGGTCACCAGCGAGCTGCCCGGGTTGCTGAACTGCAGCGTGTTTTGGTTGGTCACCGGCACCGTCACGGGCATGGCGAAGTTGGGAGCGGGCACTGCGGACTGAACAGAGAGCGGGGGGTAAAGGGCAGCCGAAACCCAGTCCCTGCAGCACAGCAGCAGCAACACCCACTGCTGATCAAAGGGGGGCAGTCAGGGCCCCCAAACCTCCATCTCACTGCTGGCCTGCACTGCTGTGCTTGAACCCACACTGGCCCTTCAGGGGGATGCACCAGAGCCCAGATTTCACTGGGGAAGAGCAATGGGCTGTCCCCTCGGACACACCAGAGCTCTGCAACCTGCTGTTCTGGCCTCATTTTCAGTTTACCCTCAGTTGTGTTCAGGGCAGCCACAGAGGAGAAGCTGGGAACACCCCAGAGCATGAAGGTGGGCAGCACCCCAATGGTCTGCCCCCACCAGCACCAACAGCAGCTGAGCTCAGCACTACCCCTCACCCCAAGAGCAGCAGGGATTTTACGAGGCTATTCCTCATCCAGAGGGGTGGGAAGAGCCCTCCAGCAGTGGATCTCAGTTTGGACTGGCACTGGTGCTGGAGGCTCAGCACCTGGGATAGACTCGTTCTGCTCCACACAGCCCCCAGGTGACACTGTCATCTATCCTGGCTCCTCTGGGAGCTGCTGGGAGGGAGGAGCTGACCCCAGGGAAGTGGGAGCATCGCTAAAGCCCTATCCTTGGCCGCAGGTCGAGGACCAGCTTCACCTACCAGCGTCCCCGTGGGAGCCAGACCCGCTGCGATTATCCTGGCTGTCTGTCTTATGTCACTGATTTGCTCTTCGTTAACAGGAGCCGGCACCTGCTTAGAGGCTTTAGCCGGGGCTTTGCTAAAGTCCCACTTTAATTTGCTCGTGGATGGAGAGGCAGAGCAGCCCAGCACCGTATGGGACCATGGCAGGACCAGACCCAGGACCCCAGAGGCTGCACTGGTGAGGGCAGAGGGAGTTGAGAATCTCCCCACTGCAGCTGGATGGACGTTGCTGCCCTGTGGCCCCTTCCCCTCCAGAAATCTGCCCTTGGATGGGTGCTGCGCCTTGGAGGCAGAGGGGAGGACGGGAGGAAGGAGTGGGACGGTGCTCACCCACGCCTGGCTGCCAGGAACCCTCCCCACCTGCCTCCCAAGGGCACCCCGTCCTTCAGAGATATCCCGCGGCCGCAGCCAGGCTGCGAGGACGGCGGCTCTGAGCCTGCGCTGCAGCGCTGCTCCCGTTCACAGGGGCAGGGCTCAGCAATCCCCTCACTGCTGGGGACAGCTGGAAGGTGGAGCCCTCCCTCTGCTCAGCCCCAGGAACTCATCCTGCACAGCAGCAGAACCAGAGGAGGAGGAGGAGGAGGAGGAGGAGGAGGAGGAAGGTTTCTTGGGCGTCGCACGAACACCGGAGCAGCAGCGTTGTGTAATAAATCACTGCCAACACGTCTATGGGTGTGCACATTCCCAGGGAGGGAGAGGGAGAGGTAAACCCCCTCTGCAACACAGCACGAGTGACAGAGCCAGGACGTGGATACACCGGCCCGAGAGCCGAGGTTTGCCTTAACCCAGCTCTGTCCCACTGCACCCGCAGACCAGCGTCAGGCTGATGCTGCCCCTGCGTGCAGCAACACACACCCAGGCCACCAGATTCCCCCCGCCCCGGGGAGGGCACAGCTAGTAGGGCCAGTGGTCCAAAATCCGGGGGAGGAGATGCACACGCCAGCCAAACCCCACGGCTTCCACGCTCGTTAGAAGCGAGGGCAAAACACCAGGAGGCAGAAGCCCCGCCGAGGCCTCTCGTTAGCGGGCACGGCCCCGGTTAAGCTGCCCCGTCGGGTTAGTTCTGGTCACACACACCAAACCAACCCAGCAGTTAAAATGGGAAAGCGCTGCCTTCAACCGCACACGCTCCACCTGCTCGGCCCCTCGCTGCCGCCGGGGTTTAGTGGAGAGCCCGATGCTTCGCCCTGACCGGGAGCCGCCCAGCGCCTGAATGCCACCACCCTAAGGGCTTTTGGGCACGGACTGTCCCTTTGGATTGGCACGTGTGGATGATGAGGGCCTGCTGGGAGCACGTACTGAGGCTGAGTGGCCCCTGCTTCCCAAGGGGAAAGCTCAAGTGGCTTTTTGGGTCTATTCTGTGCCAGTGGCAGGGCTTGTGCCAGGTGCCAGCGAGGTGCAGGTCCAGCTGGGGTTGTACACCCACGCCACACAAGCCCTGGGAGGGTGGACACCTGCCCCCCACTAGTGAAACCGAGGAGGATGAGGCAGATCCAAGCCTCACCAGAGCTAATCCTGCCCTGAAACCCACCCACAGGGCTGGGCTTGCTGTCACAGCGAGTAACCATCACCTCCTGCACCCCACTCTCCTCCACTCCTCAGCCCTCCCAGGTCTCAGGGCAGTGCCCCCATCCCCTCCACCCCAAGATGTAGGGGACGGAGGTGCAAATTTTGGGGTCCTTGAGAGGCTCCTGGAGTAACACAGCGCTGAGTCAGCAAAATAAAACCTTGGGGATTTCACAAGACCTAGCTCTCGAGAAAAACCAGAATTTTAACTTGTGGGGGTTTGCAAAGCACAGAAGGACAGATTATTTTGCGTGGGGGTGTGTGTGTCATTTTTGCTGTGCTGCATCCACCCCTGGAAAAGGAGCCTCCCTCCTGCTCCCACAGCATTAATTACGGATGCAGCAACACGGGGCTAATCCCCCCGAAAAGCCGCTGCCTGCATCGACAGTCTCTGCTCCCTTGAACTAACAACTAATTTGAAACATGTCCCCCTCCTCCTCCTGTCTCCTGACACAAATCCCTTTCAGCACTGTCCTGATGCCACCCTGGTGCCGGTGACAGCTCTGGGATCACAGGCTAAAACCTTCTCTGGATTTCTGCCACGGCCACCAGCTGCCCCAAGGGCTCGGTGGATTTGGGGGGAATTAATGTGAAATAGCCCAAAGCAGGCTGAGCCCTGCAGGGATGTGAGGGGTCGGCACCCACCACCAGCTCTCATGAACACTGAACAAAAATCCCTTCTGTGGGGAAAAGAAGGTGGAAAAGGGAGGTCCTAATTCAGTATTTGCAGCAGAGGAAGGAAGAGGGGCAATATCCTCCTACACTGTCCAGACAGAGCTTGGAAAGCTCAGGACACCGGAGCTACCGGGAACCGTTTTCCCAAGGGTGGGAAACAGGAGGGACCCTCAAGGCCCCTGGTGCATCTCACCCGTCAGAGCCGGGTGCATTCGGGGCTGTGGGGGCTGCGGGCATCGGCTCCCAAGGCACGGCACGGCTCCGAAGCAAAGCCATGCAAAATCCACCCCCCCGTCACCTGGAGGCACCGGGGAGGGGACCGGGGCGGGGGGGCTGCAGGCCACCAGCTACTCACTGCGAGCCGGTAACTCTGCATCATTTTATCAAACTCCTCATCAATCTTTTTATATTTCTCTTCCGTCTGCGGGGTCAGCGCAAACACTTCATCCCCTTCCGGGCTCTCGCACTCCCTGTGCTTCTTGTTCAGCGCCTGTTACGTT